TTTTTTTTTTTTTTTTTTTTTTTCTTTTTAACTTTCCTCTGCATGTGAAAGAAATGGAAGCAGACACTACCCAAGAACATGCCTGTATGTGAAACCCTACAACATCTCTGTTCAGGTGCAGCCTTCAGATGGAGAAGTTGAGAAGCAGCTTCCTATACAGCCAAAAATCATTTTCCTGGACAAGAAGGTAGGATTTGCCTCTCTGTGGATGGATGTCTATTAATTCTGTACAACTTTGACATTTCCAAGCAATCCAAAATGTAAATATAGCATAGGACAGCTCCATAAATACATATGGCAAAGAATATCCCCTATTAAGGTCCCTGTTAAAACCATCACAGCCTTCTTTCCTCTTGTTGAGAAGACAAGACCTCAATTCTTCTCTTTTTTTTTCTTCCCAGGGTCAAAGAGTTGACAAACTTGGGCCTCCCTCAGAACCCTGGGTTGTATCAGCTTACCTCAAGGGCTCCTCCGAGGCTGTGCTAAAAGGTTTGGATGTATTTTCTTATAGCAAGGGTTATGGGAAAACAGCTGGGTGGAATGATGGTGACATATTGGGGTGGGACAGGAGCTGTCCCTGCCAAAGACTGGATTTGAAAGATAGTCTTTGGGCTGAAAAAAGAAGGTTGTGGTAGAAGTTTGATCAACTGCCCAGCTGTATGCTAGAGAAAGAGAAGCTTATAAAAGTATTGTTGTGTTCTGGCAGCTTAAAGGGAATATATCCAGTACTTTGTCTTGAAAAGACATATCTTAAGTCAAAAAAGAAAAGAATGAAGAGTTTGAAATCCTACAACTTGATTTTCAGGTAATGTTAACCGGGGCAATTTCCTTAGAGTCAATGACAGTCTGTTTGTCCCAGCAAAGTATCTGGCCCAGTACAGACAGAAACAAGAGCTTGTTGTTTGTAATTAGCTCACTTCAAAGTGAACTTTTTTTTCATGAGGGATCTTAATGTTTCTCTTCTGGTCCTCACTTATCAAAAGACCTGAACCCATGATGAACTATAAGTGTGGGAATATTTCCCTTGAGGTTATTGAGGCTACGAACTTGCTTAGATATAGAACCTTGTTTAAGGACAGTGCAGAACCAAAAGCCTGTGGATGATCATATTCTTTTAAAATAGAAAGTGGAAATTATCTTGATTATAAAGTATCCTGATTTTCATTACTATAATCTTAAAATGTAAGCAAACAGCACACACATTGAAAAATGAGGTTTCCTATTACAGGTAAAGTATTTTGGCTGCAGTAAAAGCCATTTATGTGTTAGCTTTGACTTGAAAATTTCACATTTGGAGAAGATATGTGGTACTTATGTTGTAGATCAGAACTTCTCAGCCTTTCAGCCTGTGTTTCTGTTAATTAGAAATTCTTCCTATCTCATCATAGCTCCAGGTTTACAGGGTAGAAAAATCCTTTGGCCTTTTCTGTTGTTTTTCATGTCTTTTCAGGGTGATACACCTCATAGGTTTAGGGATGTGGGTCTAGATGAGGCACAGATTATTGGAGCAGCTACTGGCTAACAGTAGGAGAAAGGAAGGGAGAAAGGAAGGAGGGGAGGAAGAAGGAGTCAAGGAAGGGAAAAGAAAGAGATGATGGAAAAAAAGGTGACAGAAAAGAAAGAGAGTAAGAAAAAAAGGGGTAAAAAAGAAAGAAAGAAAGAGGGAGAAGGAGAAAAAGCGGGGGAAAAAGAAGGAAAAGTCAAGGAAGAGAAATGCACTTCACATTCTTTAAAAGATACATGCATCAAATTAATAGTCAATAAACTCCAGCAAAGAAAGAACTGTGTAGTACAGATGTTCTGCATGTAATAGTTTGCTGTAGTTTTTCCTTTGACAAACGTCCTTATTGCACTCCTCTTTTGAAGCATATGAAAGCAGCATTTAATCGAAATGGGTCCCGTCTAGCACACTGAGGCAGCTTCATCTGACAGCAGCCAAACTGCCTCATGGAAAGTAGTTTAGCTCCAAATTAGCTTGCTTCTACGTTAAATACCAGCTTGCCTAAGAGATCTTTGTGAAGACTCCCATATATATCTGTAATATTCTGAGCTTTGAAGCATATGTGCCCGAAAGCTGAGATAGTCTCTGTTGAGAAGTACAGTACAGTACTCCAGGCTTCCTCGTAGACTAGAAATGGCAATTATAAAGTATTTGAACACAGCTAACGAGCCTCAGTAAAAGCAGTGCTACAGTGAGTATCAGAGCCAAGAAAAGTCTTGGTAGTCTGGGCGGATACTGTCATATGGAGGATCATATGCATAGTAGATAAATAGATGAGCCAGAATTAGACTGGAGCAATTAGAGAAATCTAGATTCCCACATCTCTACCAAGTCAATTCACAGTATAAATTACTGCTTATTTATACATCACAGCTGGTCCTGGAGACTCACAATGAAATTGGGGGTTTGGTGTGTTAGACGCTGTACAAAACCAGAAAAAACATATAATTAGACAAAACTAACTGGGATATTAGTATATTAAATAATACTAGATTATGAAGAGGGAAAACTTTTTCATGTCTGTTGCTAAGTCATTGAAATGTGTCACGCTCTTTCCCAGGACCTTGTTTCAGGCAATTTCTGGCCGTGGTTTAGAGGTCAGCTTGACAAGGAAGTAATCTCAATAGACAGTTTTCATTGCAACATATCTGTTTGGAGTCTGTAAGAGTTTAAGAGGTTTGGCCAGGGCATGTCAGATCTTCAGAGCCAAAGAACAGATCCTGGCACTGTTTAGTTTGTATCATACAGGGGTAGGCACAAAAAATGGGATAAAAACAGTGAGAAATTGTCCTGCAGTCTGGCCTACCATCAAAAACCTTGCTTCCATCTGCTGAACACTCCTATGCATTTGTGATTGCAAGATGTCTCAAAAAAATGTTTACTACTTCACCACTTTGCTCAATAACATGGACACAGGCATGGCAGACTTTATGCACATTCAGACTTTATGTACTTTCACCTGTGCTGTTTAATGGCAATAAAATATTAAACTGCCTGCTCCGTAAATTAAATACTTATTACGTGTTGTCTTTGAGCAGGCAAAAGTCTGTGTTTGTGATCACTGGAGCAAGTCCAGCATCCTAAGGAAGTTCTGCCTTCTCACCCCCACCTGAACCAACATTTTGAAATTTGTCAGTCTTTAGGATTTTCCCCCACTCTCTCCAAGAGCCTGAACCAGCCCAGACCTGGTCAGTGTTGCTCAAAGGCCAGGACTTGGCTGGTGCTCAAAGATACACACAGTAAAATGGAGATCCAGTTACAAAGTAAATTATAACTTTTAACAAGAGCCTACAAAACTAACAACCATGGCAGGTGTAAATGTTGAGTCCGAATGCATTCCCTGGTAGCTTAGAACAAGAGGTAAAGGGATGGAGAAACAGGGTCTTCCAGGTTCATTTTAATGCTCCCCATGGAGCTTTCCCCTGTCATGCTTTTGGCTGAAAGTCTCTCCTATATGATGACAGGGTAGTCACCACAGACATTTTTCATGGCTAAATTCCTTTCAAAGCATCTGAGAGGGCTGGAGGAAAATTCAAAATGATTTAAAAGTAGGACATGAGATAATATAATAATGTAATAGGTTGCCCAGGGAAGTTGTGGATGCCTCGTCCCTGAGGTGTTCAAGACCAGGCTGGATGGGGCTTTGAGCAACCCCGTCTAGCTGGAGGTGTCCCTGCCCATGGCAGGGGGTTGGAACTAAATGATATTTAAGGTCTCTTCCAACTCTAACCATTCTATGATTCTGTGAACAAAACAGTCTGCTTTTTTTCCTTAGCTGTGGTGGCTGGTTCTTTGACACCACCCCTTTAGGACAGAAGATACTCAGTTTCTCACTAATACTCTCCTAACCTTGGTGACATATTTAGTTACATTCAGCAAAAGTTAAGGGTCTGTAGATGCCTCGTCCCTGAGGCGTTCAAGACCAGTCTTGATGGGGCTTTGAGCAACCCGGTCTAGCTGGAGGTGTCCCTGAAAATACTGGAGGTGTCCCTGACAGAAGATACTCAGTTTCTCACTAATACTAAAACAGTCTGCTTTTTTTCCTTAGCTGTGGTGGCTGGTTCTTTGACACCACCCCTTTAGGACAGAAGATACTCAGTTTCTCACTAATACTCTCCTAACCTTGGTGACATATTTAGTTACATTCAGCAAAAGTTAAGGGTAAAAGATGAGCATCTGGAACTTTCTAGTGCTTCTGTGTAGCCCCCATTGCCTTTGCTTGATCCCCCTAACATCTCTATTTGTTACACCCCCATGATAGACATATACAATAAATGCCATTTCACAATGAGCACAAGGAATCAAGATTCAGAAGCCAAGGTCCCCAAGTCCATCAGGAATTTGAAGTCCAAGTGCTTCTGAAGACCTGACCCTATGTGAAATTTCTGGGGTTAGACAAAATTGTTTATGATTAGGGAGGATGCTGAATTTAGGATTTCTGAAGCCCCTTTAAAGTCACAAGAGCTCTTTGAGGGACTTAGATGGTACTGGATGCTGCTAATTGCAATGCAATTTTTTATTACTCTGCAGGGCTCACCCAAGTGGAGGTCATAGATGGATGTGCAAGCTTTTCCAATCTGGCTGTCTCCAGCTCAGGCACAAACTGGAAACTTGTGTTCACTGTCACGTCACCTCCAGGTAAAATCTATTTTCTGCATGTTTTTTGTTTTGGTAACCAAATTCAGAACCCTACATGTGGTCTCAATAAATTAAAAGGGAGTTAAGCTTTGTTTGAATCAGTGGAGCAACGCCAAACCTCTAAATAGCCTGACTTCTGTTACACGTCCAAGTTGGCATTACCCAGGCAGCAAGAGGGCTGGGTGATTCCTGTGTTATTCATGCAAGATCTCCAAAATCAAGATGAGTTAGAACAGAGAAGTATTGCCAGAGAAAGGTTCCTCTTTCTCCCTGGACTGCCTAGCTATGTATCCTGTCTAGGAATTGGGTACCTCAGGTCAGCTAAGCTGCCAGAACAACCTTTTTCCTATAAATTGAGTCCTGTCATTCCCTCTTTTTCTCCTGTTTGTATTCAGAAATGTTTTATCTGTGCTTCCAGTTATTTTTGTAGTGCCTTTTACTGACCATTTATATGCAACTGGTCATCTTCAACCTCGATCATTCAAACCCCTCTATATATCTGATTTTTAAAAGGGCAGTATTAGGCATCTTCCATTCCTTGAAGTTCAGATGCTGAGAAGCAATGAACTCTTGACCACAGAAACTATGAGTAGTGGCTGGCTTGATTCTGACTTCATTTGCAGAAAACTTTAATATCTCTGGATGAAGAACATTACTCAAAGCTTGTGCATGTCAAGAGACTAAATATTTACCATGCTAACACAAGGACACTGACACTTTTTATTTATAATGCTCATTATCAATATGATGGAAAAAATTAACAAGTTCACTGGGAGTTTTCTGCATCATGGGTTTCATCTTAACTCTAGTGAATGTTGGGTCTGAAGTTGGATGGACTTATGGGTTGTTCCTGCATGCATTTTTAACAGCAGCATCACTGTTGAAAGGCTATAACCTGTTGTTTTAGCTATGAAACCCGTGTTCTTACTTTTGAAATAAACTCTGACTGCTTTGAATTCTCAGGGGCTAAGTTTACTGTGTTGTCTCAGCCATTTACCATCTTCCCTGTCACCATGGGAGTGAAGGCCAGCATGATCCTAGTTGTCATACTGAGTTCAGCAGCTTCTGCATTTGTCCTCACTCTTGCCTTGTGCTGGTTCAAGAAGAGCAAAAGCAACAGTAAGTTGGAAATGGCTTGTCTCAGCCATTTACCATCTTCCCTGTCACCATGGGAGTGAAGGCCAGCATGATCCTAGTTGTCATACTGAGTTCAGCAGCTTCTGCATTTGTCCTCACTCTTGCCTTGTGCTGGTTCAAGAAGAGCAAAAGCAACAGTAAGTTGGAAATGCCCAGTAAAATTTATACTTGCAGACTCCCTGTTTATTTAACAGCTCTCCAGAGTGGCCACAACAGGATTCAGACAGTGTCTCTCAGAGAAAGCTCTGAGAAGTTCATCAATTAGCAGTATAGTTTGTGGTTCAGGGTTACACAGTTTTGTGCCTGTAACATATGCCCGAGTCCTGGCTGGAAAAAGTTTTAACTGTATGTGAAACATGATGAAAATCAGATTTCTATAGCACAGACAAGGAATTGAGAAATTGCTATAATTTCAATGATCTGTTCCACCACTGCATTTCCCTGATAAAGAATGACGTAGCAAAGTATTGCTGTGGTAAGGTTATTGAAAGCCTTGGTGTTGACCAAGGACCAGACACAGCTGCAGTGTGAATGTCACTGAGACAGCAGCACAGCCATGCTCACATCCTGTATCACACCGTCAGCACCATATGAGTCAAAGCAGTCAGGGGAGGGCTACAGCCTTTCTGGAATTCTCTCCCAAGCAAATCCACACCCCTACTGATTTACCTTAAGGTTGCTTTCTTTTTAGCATTGACCTTAAAACAAATATAGGTACTTCAAGGAGGCTTTACAACTGCAGAAGGCAGAAAGTTATTTGTGTAAGAGGAGAACTGAAGATAAAAGGATATGACTGTAGCTGTTGGTCACTTTTTTGCCAAACATTCACCTTAAACTCATGGATATGTTTTAAGATTTTACTGAAGAGAATGGGTAGGCTCCCTAATGGTAAAACATAAAATGGCATGAACATAAAAGAACTCCCTCTGCTTTTGGGCAGAAAAAACACTTTTAGATTATCTGTTAATTCACCAGAAATATATTTTTGCTTGAAGTGATAATTGCTGCTGAGCTGAGGATGGATTGAGAGTGATGTAACTGTATATTTCATTACAGAAACGAAGACTGAACGAGCTGATGTACCAAAGGCCAGTACCAAAGCACCCCATAAACAAGCACCGTCTCATGCAGCTCACGTCCAGCGCCGTTATAATCAAGGAGAAAATAAAAGTGCTGTGTCTGTAGCAGGAGGTGAGACTGCAGTTCGACAATAATCTAAATTTATAAACAGACATCAAAAGTTGGTTTAGGTTTCTTCACAAATTGTAGGTTTGTATAACATCAATGGCAGAGTTATTCTCAGGTCTATCACTTTATTACCTCATCCTCCTTCTCCTCCCTGGTATTTTTCTACTTGTCATTTTCATAGAATCATAGAATGGTTTGGGTTAGAAGGGACCTTAAAGAAAGATGGATTGAGAGTGATGCAACTGTATGTTTCATTACAGAAATGAGGACTGAACAAGCTGATGTACCAAAGGCCAGTACCAAAGCACCCCATAAACAAGCACCGTCTCATGCAGCTCACGTCCAGCGCCATTATAATCAAGGAGAAAATAAAAGTGCTGTGCCTGTAGCAGGAGGTGAGACTGCAGTCCGACAATAATCTAAATTTATAAAGAGACAGACATCAAAAGTTGGTTTAGGTTTCTTCACAAATTGTAGGTTTGTATAACATCAATGGCAGAGTTATTCTCAGGTCTATCACTTTATTACCTCATCCTCCTTCTCCTCCCTGGTATTTTTCTATTTGTCATTTTCATAGAATCATAGAACGGTTTGGGTTGGAAGGGATCTTAAAGACCATGCCGTTCCAGCCCCCCTGCCATGGGCAGGGACACCTCCCACTAGACCAAGTTGCTCAAAGCCCCATCCAGCCTGGCCTGCACCCCATAAACAAGCACCGTCTCATGCAGCTCACGTCCAGCGCCGTTATAATCAAGGAGAAAATAAAAGTGCTGTGCCTGTAGCAGGAGGTGAGACTGCAGTCCGACAATAATCTAAATTTATAAAGAGACAGACATCAAAAGTTGGTTTAGGTTTCTTCACAAATTGTAGGTTTGTATAACATCAATGGCAGAGTTATTCTCAGGTCTATCACTTTATTACCTCATCCTCCTTCTCCTCCCTGGTATTTTTCTATTTGTCATTTTCATAGAATCATAGAACGGTTTGGGTTGGAAGGGATCTTAAAGACCATGCCGTTCCAGCCCCCCTGCCATGGGCAGGGACACCTCCCACTAGACCAAGTTGCTCAAAGCCCCATCCAGCCTGGCCTTGAACACTTCCAGGAATGGCGCATCCACAGCTTCTTATCTCCTTATCTCCTTTTTATCTACTGTTACATACATATTGTGTGAAATCCTATCTCCACTGAAGGCAGCAACATAATCCCCCTTCTGCTCCAGGAGTCCATGATTTTACCTAGTGTGTTTGGAGTAGGGCAGGGACCAACATTCCCACAGTGTCCCCAGCATTCCTGGAGCAACAGGACTTGTCCCTACTATGGTCTCCAAGTGCTGTGGCAAAAACTAGATAGCTTAGCTTAGGACAAATTTGCAGGCTGTAGAGGACAGCAAGGTACTTTTTATCTACTGTTACATATATATTGTGTGAAATCCTATCTCCACTGAAGGCAGCAACATAATCCCCCTTCTGCTCCAGGAGTCCATGATTTCACCTAGTGTGTTTGGAGTAGGGCAGGGACCAACATTCCCACAGTGTCCCCAGCATTCCTGGAGCAACAGGACTTGTCCCTACTATGGTCTCCAAGTGCTGTGGCAAAAACTAGATAGCTTATGAGAAATTTGCAGGCTGTAGAGGACAGCAAGGTACATTGGAGGTAGTACTCATTTACACGGTCTCCGTTGCCTCCACCACTCACTGGACCTTCATTCCATGCTTTCTAAGCTGTGAGTCCAAAATAGTACCCCCAAAGCAGCTCCATTCCTGATCACCCTCCCCTATGTGTCCCTCAGGGCCACTGACACAAACACCCTTCTTCCGCACACCTCCTTGAGACTTGTCTTTTCATCATCTGCTGATCAAACATGACTTCTTCTGAGGTCACGGAAAAGCAGACAGCCTCAGGGGCATGTGGCTGGCAGCATAAAGCACCGGCTTCCCTCGCTGCAAGTGTGAAATGCTCTTATAGTAGTTGGGTTGTGGGCTTTTTTTTTTTTTTAAGTGCTGTGGCAAAAACTAGATAGCTTAGCTTAGGACAAATTTGCAGGCTGTAGAGGACAGCAAGGTACATTGGAGGTAGTACTCATTTACACGGTCTCCGTTGCCTCCACCACCCACTGGACCTTCATGCCATGCTTTCTAAGCCCTGAGTCCAAAATAGTACCCCCAAAGCAGCTCCATTCCTGACCACCCTCCCCCACGTGTCCCTCAGGGCCACTGACACAAACACCCTTCTTCCGCACACCTCCTTGAGACTTGTCTTTTCATCATCTGCTGATCAAACATGACTTCTTCTGAGGTCACGGAAAAGCAGACAGCCTCAGGGGCATGTGGCTGGCAGCATAAAGCACCGGCTTCCCTCGCTGCAAGTGTGAAATGCTCTTATAGTAGTTGGGTTGTGGGCTTTTTTTTTTTTTTATCTCACCTGCCAACAGTGCAGATCTAAGGGCATTCGGATAACCCTGTTGAACCACCCGTTCACTCTGTTTTGGGAATTGTTTTTTCCTCCTCCTTCCTGAAGTCTGTGGATTACATAAGAGGCAGGAAGAGGTGAGCTGGAGTTTTATCTCCTTTTAATTAACATCTATCACAAAAGCAGAGGGAGAGAGAGAGAAGGATAGAGGAAATTCTGCAGTTTATGTGTTTTGATATTTGCTGTGCTCCTCCAAAACACAGCGTTCAGCTGTGTGCCTTAGGATACATATCTGCTATAAATTCATTTTTTATCTAATTTGTCTGAGATCTAAGCTTCCTGTGGAGGTCTGAGATCAAAGGATCTGATTCTGTCTGATGTCGGCTCTGACACATAATGCGTGCTGACTTAGTTCTGTCTATAAACTCGCAGTGGGAGGCTGCCACTCTCCCTTGGCACCTTTACATAGTGAACTTTCATTTTGGCTGGGGAGGCTGACAGGTATAGCGTTGATTGGAGCCGTCATGTAAATAATTCATGGAAAGATTTTTTTTTGTCAGAAAAAGGCAATCCAGCCACTTAAAGTCTTTTAGGAATAGTTGCAAGACAAAAAGATTCCCCGATATGTTCAAATCTAAACAAGGATAACAATATCTTAAGTGAATTTAATACATATGACTTGGAAACGTCTAATGTTTGATTTCCCCTTATTTAAAGTGCTGTTGGTTTTGGAGAGAGAGAGAAAAGAGAGAGGAAATCAAAGCTACAGTCTTTTTGTTTAGTTTCTGCCTTATAGCTGTTCCCCCCATAAGAAATCCCACCTTTCTAATACAATTAAGTGTTTGGAGCCTTTATTATTAATCACCACAGTAAGTCTTGCAAGGCAGAGCTTTTCTCTGTAGGTGCTTATACAGTGCAAAGTCCAGTGGAGGCAGGGGCCCTGGTTGTTGTCCCAGACCAAGTAGCTGAGGATGGTGATGATGAGGAGGAAAGCTTTATGCATAGATATACAGTATTGCAGGGAGAAGGGATTAAGATATTACCTTGCCTGACCTTGGCGCAACAAAAAATCTCCTCAACTTCACATAATTATCTCTCTCTTGAATTAAATAACTGTTGGTTGACTAACGCATGGTTAACAGAACAGCACCTGGAGGTGGAGGAACATATTGTTTCTTTTTGCAGTTTTATTATAACTTATTGGTCCTTATCCTGGATTCCTTGGCCACCGGCCCCAAGAAATCTCTGTTGTATTTCTGAAGAGGTTCTTCCACTCCACAGGCATGGTCTGCAGCCCTTGCTTCTAGGTTGCTCAGATCAAGTCCTCCTTCTTCCTTTCTGCAAGTTTGCCATTTTTCCCACCACGTACAAAATTTCACAACAATCAATCTTAGTTTTAACTCAAAACCACTGGTGGAAATACTGAATATCATTCATTTCAGTGGTAGTGCCTGGTACTGCCACACATCCCCATCTTTGAGAATTATTTCCCATATATAATTACTGCCTCAGCTCTGTCTGTTAGCTCGTACTTAATCCACTTAATCACATGCTTTATTGATATTGAATAGTTGAACCTAACACCGCCAACTCCACCACTAAACCATGTCCCTCAGCAGCACGTCTACACGTTTTTTAAATACCTCCAGGGATGGCAATTCCACTAGTTCCCTCAGCAGCCTCTTCCAATGCTTGATAACTCTTTCACTGAGGAAATTTTTCCTAATATCCATCCTAAACACTCCCTGGTGCAACTTGGGGCTGTTTCCTCTTGTCCTATCGCTTATTACTTGCAAGAACAGATTGACCCCACCTCGCTACGCCCCCCTTTCAGGGAGTTGTAGAGAGCAAGAAGGTTTCCCCTCAGCCTCCTTTTCTCCAGGCTGAACACCCCCAGCTCCCTCAGCCTCTCCTCATAAATTGAAATTGAAAGTTATGCATGTACAAGTTGAAAAAAAGCAGCACTTCTTAACAGGGAAAGTAAGTATAAGCATGAAAAAAATAGGAAAATTGTAGAAAATAAACAAAGATAGGAGAAAATTAGTCCAGAGAATCGAGTTCCACTTAATGAATTATAGGAAGGAAAAGAGAATGAATCTCAGCAAAAGGTCTGAGAAACCATGGGAATGAATGGTGCAGGCTGTTAACGGTTCAACTTCAAGGACAAACCTGAAAAATAAGGACTGGTAACAATACATTTTCTGGGGTCATTTCTGATAAGGACCTATAATATATGCTGATGAATGAACTACAAGAATTGACATTGTCCACTAACACATGACATGTGTAGACTAGGACCAGTTCTGGGTTTAGAACAAGTATAAATGGTTTTGGTCTGGTCTGGTTTTATCTTATTTTCAGTGGGGGAAGGAGGAGGATTGCAAGAATTTTACAAGTGTTTTTAGCATCCAAACGAAGCAGCCTGCCAATCTTGCACTGAAGTGATAGCACACCCTGTCAACTCGGAAGCCATCTGCTGTAACACCACAAGTGATCCTGCCTCTGTGGTTGATAACCATTTGGTTTATTAAGATGTACACATTTTTCCCTTCCACATGAAAAATGTACGGTATATAATTTTTTTTTCTGCATTTTTTCAACATGATTTTTTAAACAACATTGCAGGTCGCAGGCGTTGGCTTGAGTAATATTCAAATGTTGGAAATCAAATGTTCTGCCTTATTTACAGCCTAATTCATAGAGGGTTAATGTATTTTATAGGTAGTATTAAAACTATTATCAGTTTTAGCAATACATTGCTTTTTAACCAGCTGTATTCTATATACTTTTTTATGAAGCATTTATTGAAATATTTGTTAACCATCGGAAGAAGCTGTAGGAGTTGTCAGTGTATCAATAAGAACAAGCCAGTTGTTTTATTCGCTTTCTTTTTATTCATGAAAACAGCTTATGATGGTTTGGTTTTTAACAACTTATTTCTGTTAAACTAAAATTTGTTTAGTTACAATTTGTAAGTTACAATTATTTCTCCAACAATAACTGCTTTTTCATTAATGTCTTTAACACACAGTGAAGGGTGTGGAGGAGGGTAAGAAACACGAAGGTAAGGTCTTACATTTATTGTAAAGCACAAACAAGTCTTGTTTTCACAGATATGGAAGGAAATGGAGCAATGGGGCATGCCACAGGACAACTGGAGGACCTGAACCTGCAGCCCTGTGAAGCCAAGTCAGTGAGAAAGATGAACACTGTCCAACGTAAGACAGGTGACAGAGACACCTTTTCTTCTGCTGGCAAAAGTCACCAACAGGTACATAGAGTAACATCTCCTGGTGACTCTCTGGAACTTCAGCAGCCAACAGTCCCAGGTTGCTCCAGACAGAAAGATGTCCCCAAGCCTTCAGCTGGTTACAAGAAGGAGAGAGAGAAGACTGAACGGATGCCCAAACCTCAGAATGATCTTGGAGAACATGTTGCTGTGGTGGCAGCAGAGGTGTAAGAGAATTGACATGAGCTGGTGGACCACTGACAAAGCAAGCTTGCAGTCAATGCAAAGTTGAGTCTTTGTCTCTGTGGTCAGAGCAAAACATAAACATATTTGCACAGGGAACCAGACTGCAAAGCTGCACATGTATAAATGAACCTGTTACCTGGTTTTCCAGCCAAATGGGAGACTCTGACCATGACTGTGGTGTTGACCTTTCTTAGCTTCCAAAGCAGTGTGGGTGCACCCAAACTGCCTGGTGTAAATAGTCCATCTGATACCTCTAAAACTCTCTCCAAGAGTTGTTTGGGGGAGTGATATCTGGCTTGCTGGGTCAAAAGCACTCAGAGATTAGCCCAACAAGTCAACAGTGCAGATGGTTGGATTCCTGGTACTTTTATATACTACCACTGATGTAGTCTTAATGTCTAGAGCAATGTTGATTGGTATATTTGCATATAAATAAATATATATATATGAATTTTCCCATTCTTCCAATCATGCCTTTAGTTTCATTCAAAGAACGTCAGTATGTACATAAATATTTTCCTTTTTCTGAGGAAATACAAACATGCATTCCATTTCACTATGACTTGAGTAAGTTTCATTCCTCCCCAGTTAAATCTGTGCTGTTATTTTTGCTTTAATTAAAGTATTTTACTGGGTTAAATCTTCACCAAAGCATAATTTTCTAACACTCTTAAATCACTGGCTTGTTATGAACACTACTCTTTATGAATGATAATAATAATGCTGACGTTCTTCGGTTGCTCAGAGAATTCCTCAATGCTTTGCTTTACTGAGCTGGAAGATGAGGAACTTTATTATGCCCTCTCTGTACCATAAAATTCTTGGTTGCAAGGTGGCCTGGTGGCACAAGATAAAATTTATAGTCCTCTGCAGAAAAAATACTTAAGCAGAAAGATGAGGTTTCTGTCAGATCAGCAGTGGAAGAGAAGGTAATAAAACTTAATTTGGAAAAAAACCCCAACAAATAACAACCACAAACCAGTTTACTTCAAGCTGAAGGAGCTAAGGTGCAGATTTTGGGCAGTGAGCTACACAGATTTCTAGGCACAAAAATGAATTCTCCAACATTGTCTCCTTGCTCTCTGTTGTGTCTATAAACATTATTTTCATGTGAAATCAGGCTGAGTTGACATAGGTTTCTGGCTGACTGCACAGGAGCTTTTCTGGCTTAAGACAGTTGAGGATGAGAACCTTACATTATGAAATGTAATAGATCAGCCTTTCCAACCTCTTCTGTGTTATAGAAAAGAAATTTCTTATAATATTTTCTAAAAAGACCAAAATATTCCTTATGTGAATCAATGTGGTAGATCCCTAAAGCTCACGATTCGGGGTATGAATAAAAAGACATTGGAGAGAAATCAAGGTTTGGTGACATGATTTAGAGAACCTTCCATTCCTTCATAGCTGATACCCAATTTTGGATGCTTTCACATGATAGAACCATGGTAGGATCCTTTCTTCCCTGCAGAAATACAATTTCTCCATCCCCTGAACTCCACTCCCGTTCTGTATTTCTACTCCAAGTAAGTGACTCTGTCACATCCAAGCCTTTTGGATGCTTTCAATGGTAGAACCATGGTAGGATCCTTTCGTCCCTGCAGAAATACAATTTCTCCATCCACTGAACTCCACTCCCCTTCTGTATCTCTGCTCCAAGTAAGTGACTCTGTCACATCCAAGCAGTACGAAAGCAAATAATATATAATTACAGATGTCAGAATGTAAGCAAATAATATTGAATGTAAATTATATGCAAACATTATACAATGGAGCCTAGTTTTTGCGTGAAAAAACAGACCAGACATTGAAAACAGTTAAGGGCTTTAATTAATCCTTTAATTTATAATCCTTTTGTTTATCCATATTTTGTTTACAGAATAAGTAATGTCTTGCATTTTTAGACCTCTAATGGAATGAACAGGGTGAAAAAATGTTTAACTGTAGCATTATCGATCTTGATTTCCCACAGTGCTGTGCATTAGCCGAGTGGTGGAACATGGGAAAGAAGTGGGGCAAAAGTGAAATAAAACATCACAAAAAGTTGATGGTTGGACTTGATGATCTTAAAGATCTTTTCCAACCTAATGATTCTATGATTAGTGCAAATATGAAGTGAATCCTTTATAAGTAAGAAATTTAGGGAATCTTGTGTCATGTACCAGAAAAAAATAATCACTGTAGCAGTCAGGGAGAAAGAAGATGTGGCTGAGACTTAGTGATTGAAGAACAGAGATAAACCTTTTCTAAAACGTTTTTAAACTGACCTCAATCGCACTTGGATGAAATGGGATCCTACTACTTTGTGGCTGATGGAGATTCAGCTTTATTTTGAATTTTTTTCCATCTAGACAGATAAAAATGAAAACAGCCTCTCACTCTTACAGGGAATGTATGGTTAGATAACAGACATACCCAAGCTGCTCCAGAATGTCCTGAGCAAGGTAAAAAAAGAGAATGTATATCTCATCTCCTGAGCCAAAGGCTTCATTTTAAAACAGCTCGAATACGAGCTTGACCTGTGGGGCGTCTGCATGTCACCACTGTCTTGCCATCAGTACTTTTGGTGACCCTGCTATAGACCCTTAGTCTTTGCATTGTTGAGTCTCCTTAATCCTTACACTATAATTAGGGCAACATTGGTTTCCGCCTTTGCTTGGATGTTTGATGGGTAAGTTTGTGCATTGAGATACCCCCTGATAGGAAGATATACATTCCAAAAGCCAGGATGGTGGAAGGGCAGGGTCTGAAACAAGTGGAAGGAGCCAGAGGAAGAACCTACATTGGGACACATGGGTTACCAAAGAGGGATGGGGTGCCTTGATGGACTTGAGGTCGTTAAAGTCTTCTGGTCCAGCTGCAGGGCATTAGGCTGAAATGAATTCACTTTTTTTATACTGTCAAAGTCCAGCTTCTGTGAGGACACATAAAAAGACAGCAGCAGGATTTCAGTTCATCTTTTCAAAGAAGGCTATAAGGCATGTCATGACAAAGACCCATGCTCTAGAGCAGCCCACGTTCAGGCCAGCTCTGCAAGGGACACTAGGCCCTTTCAGCAAATCTACTTGAGCTTAGCAAAGTACAAACACTGAACACCAAGGAAGCCTTCAAAGTGCCAAAATGAGTGTAAAAATCTCTGCATCTGCCTGTGCAGATCCATACTCTGAGTCTCAAAGTCTTTCTTGACAGTCACATTAAATGTCAGTGAAATTTGACAAGTTTGGCTCTGGCACAGCCAATGGCAAAAATTTCATTAAGTTTGCTGGATTTGGGGTTTCCACCTGCTAACATTTTTCTGTAGTCCGATCTCCAGGAGCACTTGAATTCCTTTACCAATGTCAATAAGAATGTAGCTGAAAGGATGCCTTGTCTGAATTCCTAGACAATGTATGGTCAAAATTATTATTCTTCCTTTTTTTTCCTCCCCATTTTCTGGAAGTGGTATTTTTTCCTCTTATGTCTGAAGTAGAGGAGTGCATTACAGACAAATTTGCCTAAGGCTTTGGGCCAGAGTTGATGAGACTTCACGAAGATACAGGAACAGGCACATGGATAGAAAAAAAGAAAGCCTGTGAAAAATTAAAATGACAAGCCTGGTTAGGGAGCAGAGATAACTGGTGATGTAGTAAAATTAATTACAGACTGGGTTGAAGGAATTGTGTGCCTAAAACAAAATTAAAAAAAAAGAAAAAAAAAAGAAAAACCAAATAACAGCAATGAGATTATAAACCCTTTCATCATCTCTAAACGGTATAACTCCCAATCCCTATTTATTATGACATTTCTTGTGGCATTTATATCTATAGGATGAGAGGTATCAATGGCAAATAAAGGAAGCAAGTGACCGGTCAGAAGGCTTTACTCTGAGTTTCTGATTCTGCAATGAATAGCCTCATTAAGAGTGAAATTACAGTCAAAAAAATCTTCAGTGGACTATGAACCGTGAGAGAAAACCATGCAGGAAATCTGCATGATGTAACAGTCCAAGGGTGAATATGGGATATTACAGGGGACTGTGTCAAAGGCCTTAGAGAAGCCCAGTTGTACAGTTGAAAACATCTGTAGCTCTTCCTGTATCCACTGATGGAGTCACTCCATCATTCTCACTGGGTCAAACCTGTGTATGCGTGTGCAGGTCTGGAGCCACCAAGGAGGTACCATCAGTCTGCCACTGTCTCACCAGAGCATTTAAAAATGTTCATTTTTTACAGAAGATAAGGAAACTAGAGTAACCATTCTGTTAGTGTGCTTTCCAAAAAGGAAAATAGAAAGACACAGACAATGTTTTACTTTTGAAACTGGAAGGTGAAATCTCTTTTGAAGGAGAGTGAATACTTAGGGAGAATATAACAAAAAGGCAAATATAAAATGAGCCTTTCCTAGATTCAGCCTTAAGGAATAAGAGGGAATGGTGGTTGCTCCTAGTACCCATTGGATGGACCTATTGTCCCTGACTTTTTTTCTGAAAGTGTAGCATGAATGTCATGTTACACTGAATTACCTATATCCTGTGTGAAAAACAAATATTTCAGATTTTATTTTAAATGTTCTGTCTGTTATTTTCTAGGTTTTGTTGCCTGATAAATATATGGAGTAATGCTTATTTTCCTTGCTTTTCTGAATGTTCTACACATTCTTTATCACGCTTAGTTCTTTTCCAAAATGAGAATATATACTCAGTCCTCCTGCAAAATACCTCCTTCCCCTTGATGTGTGCAGTTAAACCTAATGCAGTGGGAGGTAACTCCGGTGTTTCCAGAAGGGGATTCAGTTTTCTCTGGGAAAAATAATTTCTCGGAGGCACTGAGTGAAGAGTGAGACTAGGCTGACTAGGATCCTGATCTTGGGTCCTTGGTTAGAAACCTAAATCCAGGTGGAAAAAAATCAGGGATGACAGAGTTTAGTACGAAACCCAGCCACTTTCATTTGGGATCAGAAGGGAAAAAGAAGAAGAGAAAGAGGTGACATGGCTAAAAACAATGGTGTGGAAAAGGATCTCTGCAGCAGCACTGGGGAAGATGGAGTGAAGCCCAACCCCGCTGTGTTTGTCAGAGAGAGGAGCGACACGCAAACAGAGCGTGGAGCGTGCGCTGAACTGCTCTGCTGCTTTGGGTGTAGGTCATCTAATTCATTTCCCAGGAGGTCATTTGGCCATCCCCAGGGACGGGTTAGGTGTGGTTGGATTAATTTGTGCTTTCCCTCTCGATACACCTCTCCCTTACAGAGTACATTAAAGATGAAGCTGGTGCCCAGGACACGCTAGGTCTTGCAGCCATCAAAGGGAACGATGCTAAAAATATCCCACCCTCGCTCTCCCTCCCCCCCCTCGACTGTCTCTCCCTGTCTAGGTGCTGACAAAAGTTATTTGTCGTATTCCCTTCATTCGGTGAGTGACAGGAGACTGGTGTCAAGTGAGAAAATGAAATGTAAATTTTATTAAACACCTTCTCATCTCTGTGTATCAATCCAGATTCCAGCCTAACACAGCAAATCAAATCCTGTCTTCACCAGGCCTGAGGGCACACAAAGAATCATTTCTCCTTAATACCATTCCCTCCTAGTAAAATATTTTTCTGTTTAGTAAATGAAAATTTAAAATGCAAACCCTATTTTAATCCCAGAGAAAAGATGTGCATTGCA